CAATAAAAGAAAAAGAAAATTATTTACGTTAACTAAAAATACAATGTAAAATTGAAACAAATTAGTATCTTGGAATTAGACATTTATTTAATTTATATAATTATAACCAAAACATTTCAGCTCAGCATGAACATTTGAAAAAAAAGGCTTCTAAGACATAGCTATGCACAAGGAAAACTGTAAATCTTGTATTATTATGGAGTTGATGTAAATGCTGATTCTTCCAAACCAATGTACATCTTTTATATAGTACATAAAGCAATTTTGTGAAGCAATGTAAACCAAAGTAATGATTTCACTGATTATATAGAAACAAAATGTGTATTTTAGAACAAGCCATTTAACTGAAATGTAATAAAGTAGTTAATCTTTGTATGAGGAGGCAAATATGTTTAAAATGCTTTGACAAAACAAATGTAAATCACAAAAAGCAAACTGGTTCTTCATGCATAATGCTCCTTCCTTTGAAGCAACACATAGCTCATTATATATATTACATTTGGGTGGGATTTCTTCAAACTAAACCAATATCATACTGGATATTTGAATGCTTTTGAACCACAGGGAAAAAAAAAAAAAAGATTCACTAAGCCCCTGGGACTGAGTTAGTCTTCAAATTTCAATGTTCACAATTAAACAGCTGTGTAAAATTTTTATGTTTCAATTTTAGGTAGAAGCACTTTCTCTCTTATCACAATGGGCTAGGAACTAATCCTTAAGTTTTCACTAGTTATGTTTTAAAAAGAGAAAGAAACTGAATTTTCAAGCGTATGTCAGTATTTTTGTCATTTAAATAGTGGAAAAAACTAATCTAACAGAAAGAAAAACAAGCCGAAACAAACTGCTTGCTTTCCTTTTGGAACAGAAAATACCATGTTCAACCGGTTTTTAAATGTGTCTTCCTCTTTTGTCGAGCTGGATGCACCTCGAGAATTAACCTATGGCTATTTTCTCTCAATTACTAGCTGACAATTTTTACATCAGTGTGCCATTGTTGATTCTCAGAATTGTTATAGATCACACAGCACCTGTGGCATCACATGAGTCATGAACATGATGACGACAATGCTAACACTATACACAGGACATACAGAAAAATATCTCATCTTGGCTTTTTATCCACAGACCTAATAAGGTTGTTTTTAAATGTTTCATTGAGTTTTGTAGACAGCCATTTGTATAGCACCAGCCCTCAGAACACAATTTGAGAGCTGCTGTTTTAAATGCTGCAAGCAAGAATTAGAATTACGACTTCATAGACTAAGTGGAAAAACAAACCAGTTGCAAGGGGTCTGGAAATTTACTCTCAATTGTCACATATTTTTCAACTCCTCAAATTTCTTTTGCCTTACTCAATGTCCTCAAGTCCTTGTCACAGCTGCTACCCTTGTAGTAAGCAATGATTATTTCAAGTTCCTAGCTTGTACACAAAGTGTTTTATCTGGCAACCAGCTGCTATTAACAGAAAGCATCTTCTGCAAACCTTTTTCCTTACAGGTCCCCAAATAGGCTTTTTTCACACTTGTACACCATCTTAAAAATGTCTTCTTTATAGCTGTAATTAAAAAAAAGCTTCAAAGACCTCCTCACCAGAAAGAAAAAAAAAAAAAAAAAGGAAATCAGTATTTTATATTTTATGACCTACCTATAATATTGGCAGAGTTATCTATTATCCCCCAATTTGATAAGTGAGACATCAGAATCAACAGTGGGACACACTCCAGCTTATATTGTAAAATAACAAAACTGGTTATATTTTTATATATATTTATATATATATTTACTTCCACTTCAAATCGTTTCACATATACAATTGACAACCCTTTAAACACACCAGCATTTGAACCAAGTCCTTGTACAGACCCTGAGACAGAGGTGATATAGAATTGAAATCAAGGGAAACACTAAAACATGTGGAAATAGATTACTGTGAATTACAGTAAACTTTCCCTTGTATTCCATACAAACATATAACCTTCACTCTACTCTTCAATCATGCACAGATTTGCGAGTGGTTTGTTTTCACAGATAATGCATTTTTTCTTTTCTTCTTCCTATTCATATTTAAAGGCTCCTATTCGCAGCACTACTCAGATCGTCCTAGTCTGGATTAAAAAACCAAGGCAAAAGGCAGATTTCTATTACAAGAATTCAATAGTGAGGAAATACCATAATTAAGATTGCCTGTTCTACAGCCGACAAGGGATCATGGAGTAATTTTCCACCCAGCCCAGAGTTGCCATTTCACTACAAATCCTAACTATGCAAAGGAAAAAGTCTTTTTGAAATGGGAAATTCCCCAAACATTCATCTTTTTAAAGAAAGGTGATGATACTGCTTTTTCAGCAAGGGAGGGAACACAATACAGAATCTGTTGCATGAAAGAAAAAAAAATAATCTGCAATTCCTCCAATATTCTGAAAGTCATTTTGCTAAATTTATCTCTTGGTTCTTTTCTGCATATAGCCTTAATTAATTCAAGCATCCAATATCCAGTACCTATTCTACTAATGAGAAATATGTGAAATGCCTTTAAAAAAATGAGAGGCAATGGGACGCATGTAATAACAACTAACTCTATAGCAAATTGTTGAGAAGAGAGTTTTGTAACAGACATTTAGGACCGTTCAAGAACCAACAGCCCAGGATGAGGCCTTGCTTGAACTCAGACTGACACACTGAAGTCAAGGAACTGTGGATAAGTAGGACTGTGAGATCGACAAAGGAATTGTGTGTTTCTGTCTGTCATCTTCTCCGTTAGAAAACAAGTAAGCTACCTTGTAAAAAGAGGCTGGATTCAGCTCCAGGTCAACAACCATTGCAGTTGATGGACCCTACAGGGATCTGGCTGACCAGCCACTAGATGTCAACATCAGAGACAGCTGAATCATTTGCTTCTATTGAGTAGATCTCCACTGGCTAGAAACCTAGTCCACATGTGAGTACATCAAGCGGATACGTAAATTTGCCCTACTCTCCTCCTGAATTCCATCCTGTTTTATCATCCCCAAGTAAAAGGGTGGAACAACCTTTGCTGTCTATTCTATAGCCTTTTTGCTCTCATATTTCATTATTCCAGACCAAAAAGTAAATTTATTTTTAGAAGTACATGTAAATGACATGTCCTATGCCACAAATACAGCACACTAGGAGGAAATAAGTAAGAATTACTACTTTAAAATTTCAATATGGGCCCAAAAGGCCTTGAGTGGGAATACTTAAGAGTCACCATTCATGAAAGTAAAAAAGGAAGAAATGAAGTAAAACGAGCTCATACTTGTTGATAAACTGAATATATGTATTCTACAGTATCTACAAAATGTGAGGGTTCTGATACCCCAGAAAAGCTCTGCAGAATAGAGATATGGAGGATCAGAGGCTTTCAAAGACAGACAGACTAAACAAGATGAAGACTCTATGGATTCAAACAGGCACACCAGGAGATATGACTCAAGCCTACGAAGTCATAAATGATATGGAGACGAATAAAGACGCGATTAACCACTCCTTTCATAGCATAAACAGAAAGACACATACTGACTTTATACATTTAAGCAGACTTAAAAAAACAAAGACAAGAAGTGCTTCAAAGGTTATATAATTACTTTGTCACACTCAATGCCATAGGATATTATGGAGGCTAAAAGCGTAAGTAGCTTCAAAAAAGATTAGATAAAGTCTAGAAGGATAAACTCCTCAGTAGTTATTAAACGTGACAGCCCAGACACTCTCTCTAGCTGTTAAAATCCTAAATGCTGAAACGAAGTATCATTAGAGCAATCAATACACTTGCTCAGACTTCGGTATTTTGATGTAAGCTGCAAACAGTCACTGTTGGAGGCAGAATGCTAAACCAACCGGGCCCTTGGGCTGACCCAGTAAGGCAGCTCATGTAACACGTGGACAGCTTGCTTTTGCAAGAGTAGTGCAGTACTGCTTGACTGGACTTACAATACCATGCCCAGTTTAAATTACAGAATCACAAAATCACACAGAATCACAGAATGGTTGAGGTTGGAATGGATTCATGAGATGTAACACAAAATTTGGACTGTGTATCTTGTGGGGAAGAAAAAAAATCATTAATATAATTAACTAAAACACAGCAGGTTCCATCTGAAAATCAAGAAACACTTTTTCGCTGTGAGGGTGACCGAGCACTGGCACAGGTTGCCCAGGGAGGTGGCAGAGTCTCCATCCTCAGAGATACTCAAAAGCCATCTGAACACAGTCCTGGGCAACTGGCTCTTGGTGGCCCTGCCTGAGCAGAGGGGTTGGATCAGATGACCTCCAGAGGTCCCTTCCAGTCTCATCCATTCTGCGATTCTGCGATTCTTTGAATCAGTGAGGGAAAAAGAGTATTGGCTCTTTCCTCCCTTGAGAGTTACTCTGGCAAGAAAGTGTCACTAGAAGCCCTGCTGTAAGTGTTTTTATGCAGTGGAGACGTTACATAAATCTTCCTGTTTCAGATCTCTTCTCTCTTCCAGTTAGCAGCTCTTGGAAGGAGGAGAGTGAGACAGAGTCTTCTGTAACTGATTGTAAGCACTGGACTACTTCGCCCTTTCAAGACTGAGAAGAAATATATTCCTAACCAGCAGTCCGTCCACTTTCTCCACAGCAGTTCAAGGATGCAAAAGTATTACAAGTCCGAGAATCAGTACAAAACTTTTCGTTCATCATATGATGGATATGAAGAAGTGGTCTGATGCCCAACAGGGCATCTGGTCCCTTCATAACTGTGATCCAGAACAATATTGAGGGAGAGCACCTTCTCTAAGAAGGAAGAAGGACATGCTGGGCTTTTTGTATCTGTCACAATGATGAATAAATCCACCTTCCTCCTAATGTTTATGGACAGGCAATGACGGAACAGGAATGGAGTTGAATGGGAGGGAAGAAGCTCTCTGCTAGGTGGAAGTGATTCATCATCTAGATGGTAACGTTTATTTCCAGGTGAAGTTAGTTTGTGATTTTATCAATTACTTCTCCCCACTCTCCCTGTACATCTGGGACAAAAGTAATCACTTTTTCTTTTTTAATTTCACAGAGTAGAATTAATTCAGTTTGAGGCCAGCTACTGATCTTTTAGTGAATTAGTTTATTTCACAATTTATTTTTATTTTATTATCCTAAAAAGATAGAAGAATTGAGCATTGAAGTAGTACACACAGTCCCCATGTAGTGGAGAAATGCATGCATAGTACACAAATTTGAACATGTAGTCTGTTGTATCAATGCATGAAAATCACTGCTATTGTAGCAAGGCAGTATCAACACACAATATTTCAACAAACGGATGTGTAATTTATAAAGCTGTATCAGCTATCTATCTATACATGCACACACACATACATATTTATTATCCAGAACAGAGGGAAATGGTGAACTGCAAAATTATTATTCTACGGAATGGCTCTGCAGTGTCATAAACCAGGATAAGAGCTACAAGACACCAAGACCATTCAATGGACTTGCAACCTAATTAATTCTGTGCCTGTTTTATATTTTTATATAAAAGATGGCAAAGAAAACATCTTCATTTTCAAATGATGTCTAAAAGGTTTGTTTTAAAAAATACCTCCCAATGTCCTTTTATCTAAAGACCAATAGTACAGCCTGCATCTCAAGATGGCTTGGTGTGTACTCTCTCATCCTTGTCAATATTTACAATGAAGCACTTGCAAAATCTTTTATTCAGCAACCTTGATGTCATTCTTGTGACTACAGAGAACTGAAGTCTTTCCTGCGAGTCTTGCACTTTTGCTTATAGCAAATATTTTCCCAGTTAACACAGTGAAAATAGTGAAGACACAGCATTTAACCATTAATTGCCTGGCTGAAAGTGATATTAATGTTTAGCCAATTGCTAGCCCATACAGTCACACCTTTCAAATAAAATCATGCAAAACAGGTTTTTTCGCTATCTAACTAGAATAGTAGAGGCAAAGTAAAGTAACCTCAATTGCTGAATGGCTAGAACAAGTGTCCTGGTTTCAGCAGGGATAGAGTTTATTTCCTTCCTAGTAGCTGGTACAGTGCTGTGTTTTGGATTTAGGATGAGAATAATGTTGATAACACACTGATGTTTTAGTTGTTGCTGAGTGGTGCTTACACTAGTCAACCACCTTTCATCTTCCCATGCTCTACCGACTGAGAAGGCTGGAGGTGCACAAGAAGCTGGGAGGGGGCACAGCCAAACTGGCCAAAGGGACATTCCATACCATGGGACGTCATGCTCAGTACATAAACTGGGGAAAGCTGGCCGGGGGGGCCGCTGCTCGGGGACTGGCTGGGCATCGGTCGGCGGGTGGTGAGCAATTGTACTGTGCATCACTTGCTTTGTGTATTATTATTATTACATTATTATTATTATTGTTATTATTATTTTATTTCAATTATTAAACTGTTTTTATCTTAACCCACGAGTTTTTCTCACTTTTACTCTTCCGATTCTCTCCCCCATCCCACCGCGGGGGGTGGGGGGTGGGAGGTAGTGAGCGAGCGGCTGGGGGGTGCTCAGTTGCCGACTGAGGTTAAACCACGACAACAAGGAATTGAGCTTTTACTGCCAAACCACATTTGTAGCCTCCGGTGTCTACTAGCCACATTACTTCAGAGGAGCTTCTTTGTCCCTTTTTGGCCTCATTTTCTCCCCTTTCAAAGACCAATACTAACTGCAAATGCTTACGGGACGTTCAAGGTAAAACATTTAGTATGAAAGAAATAGTTACAGACATTATATGCACAGACAAGGCATCACATTCAAATACTGTAATTACTATTGACAATAAAGCAATATTTACAAATTATTTCTCCCTTTTTCATGAAGCATTCTATTAGGCTACTCTGCCTGCCTGAACTGTGATCACCTAAGAAATTACAGCTTACTAAGAACATCGGAGTGGATAAAAATATCAGCCTATTTAAAAAAAAAATTTTAAAAAAAAAAAAAAAAGGAAACAAAGGTCAGGACCTACTGAAGGAAGAAGTAAACAGAGTAGCAAGGGGACGACTTCTGATATGATTTGGCATGCAAACAAATGGTGGCCATGCAAAACAGATTTATGAATATCAATGACTAGCCATCATGAAGCATGTAATTTTGTTACAGTAATCATGATTTGTAACCATGATCCTAATGGTCTTCTCTTTCAAACATCTATGAAATATTATTCTTACTTAGTACTACTTCTCTAATACAATTAGCATTTCAAATGCAAAATATTATAAACACTCTGTATATCAAAGCTTAACAGTTTGGATTATAAATTTAATTTTTTTGAAGGAATTAGCAGATAGGGGACAGGAGTCTCTAAAGAAGAAAAGTCATCTGCAAATAGTGGTTTGTATTAGTAAAAACAATTTCTAATATGACCACTAGGTGGAAATATTGTACTTACAGTTGGGGATGTGGCTGCTGACAGCAATGGTAAAATTCCTCCACAAGCAATAATAATATTGTCTACCATCTGGGAAATGAGGTGTATTGTGTTGTGTACAAAAATAATATTTTCATTGCTATTGACAAAGTCCATCACAGACTTTGTGGAGTGGCTGCAAGAACAGAAGAAAGGATGGATTAAAACCAAACAGTTAAAATAAAAGTTTAGTTAAATTTATTCTTTGCAACCAGACCGTGACTGTTTCTTTGATATAAAGGCAAAATCTTGTCTACAAAACTTTGCATGTAAATTGTCTAAAAATATGAACAGGACTAGTCTAATGAACAAATTGATTGCTATCTATTTTCACACCAGGATTAGTTTCAGATATCCAGTTGAGAACAATGGCTCATAAACTTCTATTCCCATCAACCAGTACTTCACTTCACAGGCAGTTCTGCTGAAAGCAGGAGGGTTGTTTCTTCAGCGTGAAAGTTATTATTTAATATTAAGAGTTCACCATACTGCACCAGTGCCATTTGAAGCACCCTTGATAACACCTAATGATAACACCTGCTAGTGTTTAAAGGAGAAATTTGATAATATGGTGATACCTTGATCTAATATTAACTTTATTTCCTAATATTAAACTTAGCATTAGCAATAGCTTTGCAAGCCACAGATGATAATAAGATTAGCTGAAATCTCAGCAACTCCTAATTGGTGAGAAATTGTCCCATGAAACAGTCACTCCCCCAAAATATAAAACAGTGTGTGAAAATATTGCGAAATACTCAGTCTACAAGTAAGCTGTTCCCAAAACAACATTGTGGCCAGTCAGCAAACAAAAATTAGGGGCTTCAGTTGAAAATATACAAACTGAACTTTAACCTCCAAACATTACCTAAACACAAAGTACAAACCCCTTCCACATATTTGGCCAAAAAAAAAAAATCAAAATTGTCTATTTCCTAGTGACTATCACAGAACAGTTCACCAAACTGGAAATTAAATGCTATATAAATTGGTCCTTGGATATAATTATGCTCAAGTTTTCTGAAAATGACCGATTCTGTCCTGGAAATTAGATTAAATATTGTCTGGTACACCTAAGGGCTCTGATAACAATGTTATTGAGTATCTCTGTTAAAGTATACAAAAAACCTAGGAAATCACATTGCTGTCATAAAATATAACATAACCACCGAGACTAACTTAACCAGGAGCTGGCATGCAAAAAAAAATTTGTCAACTAGAAAGAGTGATTCCTTAGAAAATGTTATAGGAAAGAGTTTTTATTTATAAGGTTTGCAGGTAGAGAAGCTCTCTTTTAATTGATCAGTTGAAAAAATGGCCATTAGCAGACACACAAGTCTTCCTCATGTCTGAAACAGAAGCAGCAGATTCTAACACTAAACATAAGCTGAAAGAGCAGCTCAGTTTAGTTAGGTGTGTGTGAGTTATACAATCTCTCAAGAAAACAGAAATTGTTACCTGTGAAATAGAGCTGTTACAGGCTGGGAAGGGGTGAAAAAAGAAGATACAAGATACAGAAGGGCACTTCAGCTAACACCAACTCTTTCCCTTTCCACTATCCCAGTAACATCCCCTCTACAACGCAGCTAATTTTTCCTTGTTGATGGAAACGCAAAACAGGAGTTAAAGAAGAAACAACCATCTACCTTCTCCAAACATGTACATCTGTTTCTAGTGCAAAAAGCAAGTCTGTCAGGAGCCGCTGGTGCATAGGAGACCATTTAAACTCTGGAATACGAAACATAGTTGTGCGTGGGCCTGGACTAAACTGTCGTCGCTGCTCTTCCGTCATTGGCATTCCTCGAAATCCCAAGTCAACACGTAAATCCCGGTCTTGCTGGGTGACGGATCGACCCTGTACCGCCTACATCAATAAGGAGTTCAAAAATCATGTTAACTTTTTGTAATGTGTTTTTGAATGGATCACATAATTTGAGAAAGGATGGGCTAAAACTGGACTTGAGCACAAACTACAGGAGATATTGATATTCCAAGGCAGGCAGTATCCTTCAGTAAAGGATTTGCTCCAATTCAAATCAATCAGCACTGAGGGGCTACGGCTGGCCTTCCTTTCAGCTATTCACCAATGTTTTACACTCAGGTTCTTCACTTGAAGTATTACAGAAAAGACCAAATGCAGCACATACAACATCAGCGGTGACAAGACTTTTTTTGTAGGAAACAACTATTCTTTTGTGCTGATAACACAATTTTCTTTGAATATTTGACTCTAAACATGGACAAACTACACAGTGATGGCTTCAAGGAATCAGTGTACTTTTAGACAGCTCCTCATTTTCCAAAACCAATTTATTTACCTGGTCTTTTTAGCAGGATCATTAGAGAATCAAGTCTAGTCTCCCAAATCTCATTTTGCCAATTTTGTTACACTTTGTTAATTGGTTAACAGTTTTATGGATCCTCAGGACATTCTTTAGATTCTCCCAACACGTGGTGGATGTGCATTTCATTCCCTTTCAATACCTACATAGTCAAGACTGTTTCCACTTGGTGATTAAAGACAAAAGTAAAAGATACACATAGAGGATATGATAGAGAATACCGTGAAGGAAAAAGTAGTAAAGAACAAACATTTTGACTGAATTTGAGGCAAATATTCATAACAACAAAATTACTTATAATGTGCAACATCTCTGAAAGGAAGAAATACAAAGTCTGATCCTTGAAATTATTTTAAAGTGACTTTAGACTAGCTTAAAACTGGCAAAATGGAAAATATACTTGCTTTGCTCACATATTCATTTCCTGATCTCAGCACACTGTTTTAAATCTGGACATTTAAAAGCAAAAAGACATTTATGAAATATTTTGTGCTAGCAATGTAAAAATGGACATGGCATTGGCGTTGAGCTGGAAAGCTTAGATCTTTAGTCTGATTTTGATCTTCTGTAGCCAGCATTTTGAGAGCAGGGCAGGTTTCCTTCATTCAATTTGACCTATTGGGATCAAAATTGTTATTGTTGCTTTCATTTCCTGTGTTTTTCTTAAAGTTATCTTTAAATTATTATTTTCTTTTTTTCTTAGACTTATCTAAGATTTGATTTTTTTGCATGAATCTTCTGCATAGTGCTTTCAATTCTATTTTCAGTCTTTCCTAGTTGGGACCATAGGAAGGAGTTAATTTTATATTCTTCAATTTTTGATCTACTATTGATAAAGGCATTAACTCTTCTTAGAAGTAAGCAGGAGTTCCCATCTCTACTTTGTTGTGCAAGCTGTTGCTTTCTTTCAGTCCGTTTCAACAAGACAGCTTACTTCTTACTGATAAGGTGGGGAGCTGATTGTAGATCGGTTTTAGAGAATTTGAATACAATCCATTCACATACCACTTGTTTTCTTTTGGGTACAACTACAGGTAGTTGTCATGTCAGCAGCAGTAATGGTATCATAATTGTACCATAACAGGAAAGCTTTTATCTAGCCAATAATACTGTATTTGCAAGAATGGGCTTTGATGTGCATTGCATAAACCACCATGAAACCCAACTATCTACACTTGGGTGGCCAGTGTTTAAGTCATTTTCAGTGTTTTCAGTGGTCTCAAAGAGATCAAATCTAATGTGGCAGTTCCCATGCATGCTGCAATCAAAACTCCAACCTCCGGCTCCACTGTAGACATGTTAAAAGTAACATTGCTTTTTACTCATGAGAAGAATAATGCTTGATTTATGTTTTATTTAATACATATTTCCATCTTTTTTTATTAAGGTTAACTTCATTTAAACAGAAAAGATTTAACTATGGACGGTTTACAGTTCACAGGGTATTTCGAAACACCCAAAGAAGAGATTAGAGGATAACAACAATTCCGGTGGGTACACTGTTGATAATTGTTTTTAAGAAAATTATTTAAGAGATAATAATGGCTACAGACTTAAATCAATTCATTGTAGTTTATAATTTATTTTAGTGGGAAATAACTGTGATTTAAGCAGTATATGGAGAATCAAGGGAGATAAATAACTTGTAGAGTCAGACTCTTGAAGAGTACACAGTTTGTAAATAATTTGCAATCCAAATGATATATTAGGAATTTTGTGAGTAGCTAAGAGTAAAACATTTGGAAAACATTTTGTTTCTCCTATCTTACAATGATCTGATAAAAGCTCATTAAGATTTATGTATGATTTTAATCCTAACAAATAATAATAGGCTTGAGGAATTTACATTTTTATAATTCAACTGTTATAGGTGAAATTCATTGAGAAAAGAGGTTAAAGAACAGAAAAGTCCTGAAGTCACACCAACAGGATTTTCTACACTAGCTAGTACAAAGTCAGATTATCTTTTTCATTAAAAATTTATCTTTCAAATTCACTGTGTTTATGGGTGCATATATGTACATAGCAAATGAATACTAGCATTTCATTATTATTTTACTCTTTAAACAAAGATCCACATTTCAAAATAAAAACTGAGTGCTCCTTTTTCTTGCTAGCCTCCATTCATTCCATTTATCAGTTTCCATGGTATTAACAGTCTTAATTTTAAGACTTAACATAAGGTGTTTGGGAACTGATGGTAATAGATATACTATTCCTATCGAGAGCTTTCAGGGCTTGTTCTTTATTACAAAGAATGCTTTTAAATATAAGGATCCCTACACAATGCTTGACAGTCTGTTACTGATGTTATGAGGATTTTCATAGTTTTGAAAAAAATACTTACAAGAGAACCCCCAACTTTTCTTATAATACTTGTCTAGGGAATGCAAGAGCTCCATCTGCTTTTCTCTTCAAAACAGAGGTTCTTACCACAGAAGAGAGACTTAGAAGAGAGTGTTCTTTCTGTATGTCAGAACCCACTGGTCTGAGTAACTGGTTTTTGTTGGTTTGTTTTTTTTTTTTAAAGGGAAAGTTTCTGTTTTAGAAACCACAGGTTGTTTAACTAAATTAAAATGTCCATTCACTGGAGGTTTTCTGAAAGCATTGTCTCCCTGAAGAACGAAGCAGGCAGGCTGACCTGTGTTCTTTTATCAGATGACGTACTTTGAGTGTACTTGAATGTATCTCTGAAACTCTTTCTTCTGATGATTTGGTACACACTACACAGTACTGGGCAGAGCAATTTTTGCAATTTTTGTTTGGCTCTTCTTCCACAGTTTCAGGAAGTCTGCCTGACTTTTAAATCCTAGAAGATAAATACTGGTGTACATACTGGACATATAGTCAGCTAGTAAAACCTTGAAGGTAGTCAATTCTTTCACCTGATAACATCCTTAAATGCAATCTTTGATTACATGCTACAGTCTCTGAACAATGCCAGTGAGGAAATTAATTCTGTGCTTTAAAAGTTCAAAGTGATCCTATATTTTGCTGTGTATACAGAGTACAAATTCTTTCAAAGAGTAGACTTCTGCCTTGGCCTTCCCATTTTCAGAATGCTATGGCTCTCACAAAACCACTATTTTTTCAGAATTTTTCAGAAGGAGACCTGGACAAGACAGGATCTCCAAGAAGAAAGTAGATACTTCTTCTTTTATTAATCATCTCTGGTCTGGAAATCAAGTCGCAGTTTTTCTTCTATTATCCCTAAACTATTCCTTTTCTTGTGTTAGGATCAAATATGGAGATTATTTATGCCAGCATTCCTGTATGGGAAGAAAGACAGTGTACTAAGTGCTGTAAGACAACACTCTGAGACAGGTACAGCAAGAGTAAAGAATACTTCAATGTGTATTTCATAGTAAAATACAGATATTTCTAATCTTAAGACATACTAACAAGAAAGTCTAAAGCAGAATTCTAAGAGTATCAGTTAATCTCTCCACAACAACTAAGGAAAATGGATGAGAGATTCTCTTAGCTATTTTTTTAAAACTAAAGCATCCACAATTGCAATACATATTTTCTATACAAACATGAAAGACTTCACAGTCCTTATACACGTTATGGCATTTTCAAAGCAAATAGGCTTGGAGGATGGAAACCTTCCATGTAATTAAAGAAATATACTTCAAACATCTCTCAGATCTCATACTATTAATTTATCCAGCAGCAATGAACAGCAATTACATCAGACACATACATGCCTACAGCACTTGAAACTTACCTGGGTTGTGGTAGTTGTCTGGATCTTCCGTATCTCCTTTCCTGCTTCCTTACCATCATCAGATCTTTCCGTATCTGATATTATACTTCCTGCATCAACACTAGGTACAGTTTTGCTACCAGAAGACTCTGTCTCAAGAGTTGTGGCAGTCATTTCAGCATATTCTAATCCTTTAGATGATGAAGCCAACTCCCTCTCAGATATGCTACTCATTCCATCTGAAGTTGTGTGAATCTTGAACTCCTTGTCCTCTATTATACTTGAAGCACATGTTATATCTACACTACTCGTCATATGTGCAAGCAATCCCAAATCATCATTTACACCAAGATGCATCTGTGCCTCTTGCACATTTGGAATAGAAATGTGGTTACTTGAAAGTTCAGGTAGAAGTTTCTCCTCTTGACTAGGTATTTTATCAAAGAGAAATGAGGTACTGTTAGTAGAAGGTTCATCTTTCTCATCAGCCAGAGTTATTAATGGACCATTATCTTTTTCCTCATTCTTCTTAATAATACCCACACTTCCATGAACATTGTTTTGCAGTTTCTCAACAGCAGCACTATATACATTATCTAGAAGAGATTCAACTTCTACAAGTGCACCATTTTCTCCAGTTACCAGTGTCTCTGGTGATAAATCCATATCATCAAGTTTTACTTCAGTAGCTTCTACCTTTTCAGCTTTTATATCAACTAAAAGGTCATGAACTTCCACATGCACTCCTCCTCCTGACCTCTCAGCACTTCCAAGCACATCATCTGACACCTTTGTAGCCATGAGCAAGTCCCTCGTATCTGTACTGACAGGGTAATCCGTTTCACTTTCTGGACTTTGGCTTTGTGAAAGGTCTTCTATCTCTCGAATTTCCATTCCACCTTTTGCTCCTGTTGTCTGAGAGGAAAGACCTGAGATAGTGCTCACGTTCCCCTTCTTCCCCTTTTTTATGTTTTCTTCCTCTTGCCTTTGATATTCTTCATACATTTTTGCTAGATACTCCTTGTGAGCCTCATATGTGACCTTAAAATGAAAAGAACAGATTATGTGGATGAATATATGCTACATGAACTTGGACAAAAACTAACAAGAATCTTAACAACATATTACATACAGCTTACAAATTGTTTCACAGCAAAGGATCGACAACGATGACAAAAAACAGCCACCTTGACATGTATGGAGATAGCCACCAGATGGCACTAAATCACTTTACAGCTTATCTTCCTATATTGCTAGTCCCTTTGGGGGAGTTACCAGTGTTAAAAAAACATCCACGAGCCATTTCTTACCTTGGAATGAGCTATAGAAAGAGTATCCACCCACACTCTCCAGCCTCCCCATTCATATTTTATTGCATGATACAAGAGAATACGGAAAATGTTGTAAACCATCTCTGTGATCTTCTGCTCTTCAGAGTTCTTAGGGTTAATGTATCCCAGAGAAAACATCCAGTCCTGCCACACTGAACACTGAAGTAAACATCTAAAGTGAAATAATTAGGTCAAAATATATCCAAACAAAGCTTCTTTATTTTAACATTATGATGGTTAAAATAGGAAGAAAATAATTTGGTACATCTTCTCTGAACATCCATCGAATGGTGGGAAGAAACTTAAAAATACTTCAGGATGAATAAAAATTTAAAGTATATTCTAAACAGAAGAACCCAGTATTATTTCTTTAACTAAGAAAAGTTACCAGAGACCTATTCCATTTATTTTTTATATATTCCATTTAATATACAGTATAAAACTCTACACAGAGTACAACAGATTGCTATTACCCACAAGTCAAGGACGAGAAAATACTATTTGTAGTGACATACCTTCTGTTTTCACTGCTACTACTAAAGAGTTTTATCATATCAGATAAGAACAAACGTCGAACTTCCATCAGCTCTGCACTTGGCGTGGAGTTTTTTAACAGCGTAGCCACCACCTTAAGAATCACTTTGAAAGAATAAATTAGTTACGTAACACATTTTAACAACATTTAAAAAAAAAAGTTGCTGACAGCAACTAATGTAATTAGTAACTGAAACCCATATGTATTTGAGATACACTAATGAATTGTTCTCGCTTCCTGAACCATATTCTTTAAAAAAAACCCACAACCTCTAGGCAATACATTTATCATACAAACATAATATATTGTCCTTACTTGGATTCTGAATTTTCACTGTAGAATCTGGCTCTGGATGCGGTTTATGAACAACTTGAGTGCATACTTGTTCTGTCAAAATCTGAAATAGAATATTAAGTTCCTTTTACCATTTTTAATTAAACGCTACAGCATCTCTTTGTTCATTTTTAAATTTGTTAAGAACATTTACCATGGCCACACTGTAACTTCCTATAAAACATTTTGATAAAATATTTTTATTCTTGAAGAATGGAAATGAGCAATTCCTCTACGCAAGGATAAAGATTTTCATGGATGTACAGTGGCTGGTTAATTAACGTTTTAGTTAGCTGACTAAATATACAATAATTGTGTTTTAAAGATATTTCATTCATATTTCTCATAGTGTTACACATTCACAGATCAAAAACTCTTTCATGAGCACTGTACAGCAAAAGTTATTCTCATACATTCCGTCCATAACCAAACCCAGTATTTCTTAAAAGTGGGCTTGGTTTTCTCCAGCTAGGAAAGAGGAACAGTCACAGACAGCATTCCATAGGAATAATCTTGGGGCTTCACATCAGCAAGACAGATCATTCTCCTGTTTCATGAATTGTACCTGACAAACTAATTCATCTGTATTGAGGCAACACCACAGAACTTTCACACTGGGATACCTGTCACAAGTTCTATGCATGCAACTTTATTTTTAAGGACAAGCTAAAAATTTAATGATATTCACATAGGATTCTCAATAAGTATATTCAAGCAAACGCATTTCAAAATAGAATCATTTCACTAGTAATTCTTATTTATTTTAAAGCAGAAATTTAGCTCATTCAGTAAACAATAATCAAACTAATGTCAGTTGTAAATACAGTATCTTTGACTGTGTCTTTACATATTGGTATTTAAAAGAGAATATAAATATGCCTTTGCTTTTTATGAGAGAACATGGAAAATATCTGCATCAGTTCCTTGGCAAATCTTTTGTACTTCTGGCACTTAACTCCTTTTTCTCCTCCTCTGGCTATTTTTTCAAATGTAAATGTCTGTGGATGCTGGACTCCATGAGGACTTTAATTTTGTCACTGAGTTATGCATTTTCTGAGAATACCAATCACAGAAGCTCTCAGAAATCTGAATGCAGCTACATCTAGACTGTGAGACCCAAGCTGTCAAACCACATAAGGTAAGCTTAGATACGTGCAATAAAAAGGAACTTAATGTCTGAGTAAGTCATTGGCAAATAGATGACATTTAGGTTTTTACAATCATAGGAGAATGTTTTCTACATCATTCAGACTCAGAACCCTAAATATCAAGCACTCCTTTAGTCTTCCATGTCTTTTCTGGAGTCAATCCTCAGTATCTAGCCATTACACCTATTTGTGACTGAACAAAAAATAATAGCATAACCAAAAAAAAAAAAAAAAAAAAAAAACATAGGCTTCGACTAACTTGATGTTGACAATATTTTGTTTTAACAAAATTACTCATCATCAAAACTGAAGTTTCTACAACAGCCTGGTAAAACAGTTGAATGCTTCTTCAAGGTCTTTGCCTCAAGCAGTATCTGTTACATAAAAAAAAAAAAAAAAAAAAATCTTTCTACTGCATAAGGTCCTCAGAAATTGCAAAAGGTTCAATTCTAAGTCACTATTTTAAAAATAATTGAAGATTGGATGTGATCTTTATGCATTTGCAGGCACGAGGACATAGGCTTCGACTAACTTGATGTTGACAATATTTTGTTTTAACAAAATTACTCATCATCAAAACTGAAGTTTCTACAACAGCCTGGTAAAACAGTTGAATGCTTCAAGGTCATATTTGCCTCAAGCAGTATCTGTTACATAAAAGTGCCTGTGTTCAGTTACCATTTTGGCATACTATCAGCATTACAAGTTAAAAAAGAAAAACAGCACTTTTCAAAATCTTCTGAACTTGAAAGGAATGGCACAAAAAAGAAAAAGAAAAAGGAAAAAAGGCATCTCTCTGGCTCCAGTACTTTCCTTTGCAATGGAGGAGTAAGAACAATTGCAGGTCTCCACTAACTTTTTTTTTTTCCTTGTGTAAAATGATGAACATCTTAAATAGCAGGATCTTTTCCATCACCCTTTGTAATGCTGTAAATGTAAAGTTTTATAGAGACTATGTAAAAATTATGACATTGTTAATTAAAATATACAAAGCATGTCAAAATACAATCTCAACCAAGAAATACTCTCTTAAAATTTCTATCTAAAATTTTCTCAAAAGTCTTGAGAATTAGGATATTGTAAAGCACAGAGTCACAATATAATTAAGTCATAATTTTTACAATAGAGATGACTATCTCTATGTTTAATAATTTGTACCTCATAAAGCGTGTTGTATGTTGTAACGGTCACCGTATTTGTATGCAGCATCAACCTTTCTCCAAGAAGAGTGAAAAGACTGTGAGTATGCATGATTTCAACCTTTCGCCTGGAAGAGAAAATAAAAATATTAGGAAAATGCCAAGCATGTTGAACATTTTAAGTAAATGCAAAAAAACCAAAAGCCAAATATTTTGATGTTGTACTAAAAAGTTCTAAAACTTGTTATTCTGTAAATATTATGAATTAAACATCATTTAAGATCTTTCCCAATATGAATGCAATTGTAGTAATACACAAAGGTTCTCAGAATGTAATGCTGTATTTGGGATGGGCTTTTGTATAAAATAAATGACACACCATTCTCACCCTCCATGATTTTCACAGTGGAAAAAGACAAAGGAATCCCTTTCTACCTTACTCAGGCTGAAAGAGTTCAAGACATTTACAGGCTGGCTAAAATGTGATCACTGCAGAACGTATCTTTTGTCTCTCTCTCAAGGGCTCAGGCCAATCCAACCTCAGATATTCCAGCATAAATACTAACACATACAGATTTATCAGTACTGCCATTCTCTTTATATAGCATTCTCTCATGCAGCCAAAATAATTAAATCCTGGAACAACATACGTTACAATGCAAAGGAAATAAAATCCTGAAACATTATGAAATTCCAAGTGATTGAAGTGACTTTCATAGTTAGGATCAAAAACTACTCAAATCTTAAAAAGCAGAGAAGAAAGCAGCTCACATCAGTGAATTCCATCTGTCCTAAAAGAGTACTCTCTTAAAATTGGATATAACATCATAAATAAAGAGTACTTCTCGTAAATTGCATCATTAAATTTATCTACTATTGTAATGAAATATGAAATATGAAATTAATTTGAATAAAAACATTATTCAAAATAATATATTAAAGCAGCAGAAAAATATGAAATAAGATAAAATAAAGTTTCTGTAAAATTTTATGCATTCAAAAGCTAAGAAACTCCCTTTTCATGATTACTGATGATAACACAGGTTTAAATTACATAGATTCATTCTAGAACTTTACAAATTAATACAATACATTATAATTTTCAAACAACAACAAAAGAGAGTTGCAACAACTTATAACAGTGTGTACTCTTCTGTGCCCAGAAGAGAGTTAATGAGTTGCTTATGAGAAAAACTATGGGTATTCAACCTTGTGAGCTATGATGTAGCACACGGAAGTGAAAATTCGTTGGAAGGTTTAAATGTGCAGATAAAAACCAAAAGTAAATAACAGACTATGATTTCAGTGGTGGCATAGAAAGAATCAAAGATGGCAGAGAAGGAAAAGAACAGGATTTTGCCAACTGTTAAGGTTAGACAAAGTAGTCTATCATCACAGATCACAAAGAAAAATCAATTAAGTTATTCAGACTCTCATCTAACACGTTACTGGTCGCTTCTAAGAATCAATTACCTCCACTCTATAGCTTAATCTGCGATGAACGTATACGAACTACAGCAATGGTAACTGGTTTTGTACCTACACAGTTGTTATTAATATTGTATTGATTACATTTAATAAATCACATTATAACATCTCTTTATGCAATTCTGCTTTAGTGTATTAAAATACAATGCCTGTTTCCTGTACTGTGAAACAGAAATTTAAGTGCTTTATATTTTCATGTAGTTTATAATTTTATAATCGCTTAGAATTTCCTGTAGTTGACTACAATTTTATAAAATCATGCATACGCACACATATGTACGTGCACAAATAGGCACACCTCACAAGCCCTAGCTGTACGATATGAAAATGGGGTGTGTGTGTGTGTGTGTGTGCGCATTTTTACTTGCTGAAGTCTACATAAAATGTGAACATTTACAGATGTTTGGAGGTCGGAAAATTTAAAAAAACTTTGAAAGTTACACACAGTATTCAAGTGGATTTCAATGACTTCAATTACATGAAAAATAAAGTTATTTAATTTTGTGCTAAGTACATACTTTCACTCAACAATGGAAACTACACTGACACATCCATAATTACAACTAGATGCTAAGGACCGGGAAATGAAATTTCGGCTTCTGAAAAATCTCACTTTTCTTTTTCTGTAATGTTGCACTGACAGAGTTTGCTACTTGATTTACTGGATAAGTGATAAATATTTTAAACAAATGTACTTATTTGGACACAACCAGGCTTCTGCACAAGTCAAACCTTCATCTGGTCTATCTTACTTAATCCAACTCCTATCAACGTAAATGATTTTTAGTAAGTAATTTTTGAAAAGCCCTTGGAGATTCTCGAGTGGACTGTCAATTTGCTTTATTAATTCCCAGAACACTATTTGGCTTCCTGGATCCCAAAAGAAAAATCCCATTTGGGAGCATATTCTCAGCTAACTGTCTCTCAATTATACAGTCATACTTTATTGATCTTACTGAGAAAAGCATGTCTAGCAATACCGCATTCTGGCTGGACTCCTAGCTCCTTTCCCTTCTAAGGAGGTTTTACATGATGATGTCTCTTGTGAAGCACACGGTTAATTTTTATACTGCACAGTCTCCCACTGGAATATTGTTGTGGGTTAACCCTGGCAGACAGTTAAGCACCACACGCAGAAGGGGAAAAGTGAGCAGCAGCAGATTACACAGCACTGCATGCTTTTTAATTCTTTCTTAACACCAAAATTTGGAAGAAGAGACTAAGTACGTTTATTTCGTGTCACATTTTATATGTGAATATTTCTTGCATAGAGGTAGGTATGTCCTTACCTCCTTTTTTAATGATCATTTACTTAGTCTGTTTGCTTTTCCTTCCGAAAGTTTCCCATGTGAATAACATTTTTCTATTTCATTTTTCCCATCATTTAAAAGCTATTTTTAGAAGTACTGCCCTGAAACTTTTATTGCAATGACACTGAAAATTCCAGCAACAAATTTCCGATGACACTCACATGTTTCCTATTATCCTTAGCCAAACACATAATACACATTTATAAAATGTATTTTTGGAAAATGTTTTTCAATCGTTTTAAGACTTGAATTTCAGCATATCATATATTTGGCAGACAATCACTGTATATTTTCAGACACCACAGTAGTAAAAAGTTAACTGGAAAATTTATTTTATCCCAATGTATAAAGGTGAAAATATTAATCAGAAAACCTAACAATTTTAAGTAATTCCTAAAGACTGTCAAAGAATATACAGTAATCATGACAAAAAGACAAGAAGAATTGTGAACTTAAATACATCACTATAACAATTTTAAAACCACACTTACTTATGACCCAAGTGTTTAAGAAAATATCCAAGAACCTTCAAAGCTTGAACCCATATACTCTCGCTTTTGGAAGCCAATAATTTATAAAGAACTCTAAAAAAGAAAAACAAATTCAAAAAGTTTTTTCAATTTATTACTAAACTTCACATATATAGATTGTATTTCACTGAACAGGGATATTTCTTAATAAATAAAACTATAAAAATAGCAATTTACACAAAATGAAAGGATATACTGAAAGCACCGAGCACAGCGCAAGAGTTTGATTATGAATTCTTTAGGTTACAGACATGGTGTCTTCTGGTTCAGTTCCATGTTTTGTAACAGAAAGCGACAACCTTCTGTCATACCTCTACCTTGGAACAATCAAATAAAATAAGACAGTCTGAGCAGTTGTAGCTGAAGACAAGAGAAGCAGATTGGAGCACATAAGGTCACATCCTGGAGTTTCTTGGAGTACCTGGATGCTCCTGAAAATCTGCTCTTATTCTTAAAAACCCTACTCAGTATCCTTTCTACACAGGATAGGGTACCTGCATTTAATCACAGGATATTTACACTGAAATCTCATTGGTCAAAATTAAAATATGGCAATATGTTACACAAAATCCCATATACACCTATGAAGCTGCATCCTCATTGCATCAAAATTTGAAGTAGAAAAAAAATACACCCTGTGCTTTTAAATCCTGGATTACAAAAGGCCTCAAATTTAACTAATTTAATTTATTACTTATTTAATGAATATGATTGGTTTAAGCACAAATTCTACAGTCTTTCAGAAAGGAAACCAGTCTTGATTTGAAGACACCAAGAGACAGAAAATATTACCCCTTCCCCTGGACTGTTCTTCAAAAAATTTTTAACTTGATATTTTAGTTTCCTTTCTGAATTAGCTGAGCTTCAGCTTTTAGCCATTCTTTTTGCTCTTTCTGCACTAAAGAGTGTTTTAGCAGACAGTATCTTCCTCTTTTGAAAGGACTTATGCCATTATCAAATGTCCTCTGAGGCTTTTGTCCTCTGACAAGCTAAGCAGATGAAACCCTAATTCTATGTAAGGCATTTTTTTTGGACACTTAAATGTTGCAATTCTGTGCATTCTCACCACTTTTTCAACACAGACTTTTAAACACAGAGACTGCACCATCAAACAATTTTAATATTGGTACCACAAATGTTACATAAAGGTGTTTTAAATCCTCTAGATCAGTCTTACCCTTCTTCGAAAGGTGTCAGGAATAGAATTCCGTCTGAATACAAACTATAGGCAGGAAACAAAGTCCTAACCATGAGTACGAGTCTTCCCTTCAACTAGCATTGTCATTCAAACAGTTTTAAATACAAGTATTTGCACAAAGATCTTAGTATTTTGGCAAAACAAAGCCTGAACTTATCAGGAGGCAGATTCCCGAACAGCAGAAAATAAAATTCTATAATAAATATTAAATTATTAACATGAAAATTATTAATCTCTGGAAAAAATTGCATTACCAAATTAGGCATATGAAAACAACAAATATACCACTTCTCTGGGAATTACCAGTTATTAATTTTACTGTCAAACAGACAAACATATGAATTTGACAGATAGCTTTTTTAATCTTTTCAGAGAGAATTTGAGAGGTTAGGGCACAATTTCTCTTGTTTTCCTCTTCTTCCCTCCAGACTATGTTAAACATCTGAAGACAGAATATTCAAAGTTATTCTGAGATAGATACTCGGCTTTTTGATGCATCTTGTTAATTACATATTCTATTTGAGATTGAGAAGCAAGTACAACAGTACATTTACCTTCAAATATCATTATGAAAACCTTAAGTGGAAATTTTTTTCCTCCAAGCTATCAAAACCACTCTGTTTTTGACAAAAAATATAGCCTAAGTTAATAAAAATTTTAGTTTGAAAGATCAGCAAGTGTGATATTTATATGAAAAAGAAGCAATCTGGAGAGTGATGATACTGGAACTACTTTTAAGATATTTTCTCACTTCACTGTCTTACCGTATCCCATTTCTCTGATCAAAGGCAGGTATCATGGATGCTGGATGTTCGGACATTAGTGCCACTAGCAGCTGCAGCACATCATGAATATTTTCATCCTGTATGACAAGCATCAATGTTATTCTACAAACTAACCTCAACAGCAGGCTTCCCATAGAGCTGGTACAATTGGTTACAGTAAAAGATAGGTAATTACAGAAATGTACCTCATGCATTGTTAGTAAGTAATTTAATATGCTCTGCAGTTCATCTTCTTTCACTCCTCGATCCTAAAAAAAATAAAAGGAGCAGCATTATTCAGAGAAAATACATTCTTTAAGTTTGGCTCAAGAAAAACTTGGACCAAGTCAAATAATCCTACAATTTTTTCTATTTAAACTCAAAAGACTAAATTCTCTCTTTCATTCCATTTCTTTTCCTTACCACACTGACAGTTCAAACCAGCATGAAGTCAGCCCTCTATTCCTGCTAGAAAGGATTCTTAGAGTGTGGGCCTTCAGATACTATAAACTATTACTGCCACTCCTCCAATCCCTGACACAGAACAGAAAAAACAGGAGGAATAAGCCAGGCCAGAAAATACTGGTTTTCAGTCTAGTCTCAAATGACAGATTATACCTAAAGACTAGTGTTCAGCTGTAACAGAGAGAAAGAACCCTAGAGCATTTCAACCAGCGGTAGAACCAAAAAAAAGGATAAAGCAATAACTAACTTAACAACTGCCGTTACATTTTTCATTTGACCAAGCAAGCAACTATCTACTATCATATAAAAAAAGCCCAAATACCTGAAAGGTTCTGTAGTGTCATATACTATTTCTGCAAGTATATTTAATAAAATATAGATAGCATAGTTTGGTGAGGTTAGTAAGAAATATTGTACAGATTTACTACCTTTATGTTGATTAGAAGTACGTGCATGAACATTAAAATTAACCAGAAACAGATACAATACCTGACAGCTATTACATATTTACTACTGTGAAAGATCCTATTACATGTATATAACAGATCTCAATGTTTTCCATCTGGAAGAGACTGTTTTACCTTCAATATAAGTTGTTTCAAAAAAAGCAGCATAAATGCCCTTAGTGATATGATTTCTTTCTGTGAGGGCCGAGGACCGTCTGGAAGAAGCAAAATATACCACTTTTAAATATAAACTAATTCCTTGAATGACTGCAGCTTCTTAAGGAAATCACAGCTCCTACAACAGATTTAGTATTCTATTCATTATATAAAAGTTCATCTTTGCAAAGGATATCATTTATAACCTTTCAGAATCACATTACAACACTAATATATATAAGTGATGTTTCATTTTGAAAAAAAGAAATCCTTTTTTTTTTTTTCCTTAAACAAAGGCACAGAAAGATGAAAGGTAGTAATCAGGTCTAGACTCACACAACTAAATTAAGGTATACGTTCCGTAGGTGTCTTCATATGAGCCAGGAGTTCAAATCCCAATATAAGCAACTATCTTTATTGACTAGATCTACTCAACTGACCCAATGTCAGTCCCCAATTCAGGATAAAAATTATTAGTTCTGTTGACTACCTTGAGTTGAATTCCACTGAAAACAATGGGAGTTTAAACACCTAGTACAAGCTACACTGTGGACATGTAAACTTAAAAGGGTCTGAACACAAAGTTGAATCTCACCTAAAATACATGGTAACAACTTGGAATAACTAAGCCACTATGTTAAATACCATCTGAATGATCCAACAGAGGAAGGATTAATGAAATATTAGTGGTGGCCATTACCTGTGGCAGAAACTGAAGCTATTTAACCAAAGAGAAACTACCATCTGAAGAAAATATTAAATTTAAACCAGAAAAAAAAAAAATCTGTAATCCATAATATTTTAAACAATTGTGCTTGAGGAAATACATCAGGAAAACAGAAGTAACTAAAAAATTGAACAAGAAACAGAGCCTGAACTATATTCACTTGAACCTTGCTCTATTGTATTTTCCATTCTCCTCTTTCATACATAGTTAAGGTTGAACTGGAAATTCCTTTGTTAAGTTCCTACTTTTCAAACAATGTGTGTCATAGACAGTTTTAAATTTTGCACAGGGAAAATAAATGCAGCTTAATTTACTTTTTCTTCAACCATTTCATCTTATGCTGATAAACACATACCAAAGCTTAATAACACTCTATGTCTCAGCATTATTTCCAATCCAGATGAATGCAACCTTTTAATGAAATTTTTTTTATAGTCTCCGGTGCCACTCTTTGAAGTGAAGCCACTGCTGTACACAGTAATTCAAGTTTGCAACAAGGGCAAACCTGAAGGTAAGTTATATTTGTTTGATTAGCAGGAAGAAAAAGAGTTTTCTTCCCTGTTTAGGAGTGGAGAGAGGAGAACTGGGTACTTTTCAGAAAGAAGCAAATAAATCTCAACAACCCTCCACCATCATATGTAAAAACAGTAAGGATATTGTTGTAAAAAATCTATCATATAGACTTTAAAGATATAGGAAGTTTTATATCCATACATTTTAATGGCACCACGAAACATCTATTTTCCATTGTAAAAACAGAAGTAAGTTGGATTTTTTGGTACTAGCTGCAACTACGTTAAATACTGCATGTGTTTTTTTGGCAATGGTGTGCTTCTAGCCAACAGCTTTTTTTTTTTCCCTAATTCAAATGCAGATTCAACTCTAACTGCATCACAAGAATCTGTTTCTTTGCACAACTTCTTCCCTCCTGCACCTTACTGGGATTCAATATCGGACAATATCAGGCCTAAAAACTGAGGCATTTTGTCTTTTCTGGAAGACTGTAATTATGGAAACAGAAAACAAAACACAGGCAATGGGGAGCTCTGCAAAGGATTTCGGTAACAGAAATTTTAAGGAAGGATTACAAAAGAAGATATCTCAAATTAACTGGGAACCTGTTCAAAGATACCCGAGTTTCATGCCTCTTATTCACATACCCACCAGTTTCTCTGGAGATGTGTGAGAACCCTGTGCTTCAGCACACAAAAGATACAAAAGGAGTTGTTGCATGCAGGTTATATGCCTCCCTTATCCCACACCAGATGAGTCACTAAATCATTTCCTGCTTTTAGATTCTTTATGTATGTATTTATTGCAGATAGCACATGATTTGCTCATGGGTTTTTTTTTAATATACACTGATAATGAGAGTTAGCCAGCTTTATCCAGACAAAAATAAATGAAAAAAATTTATCCAATTCATCCTTGCAGCACAGAGCAATTATAGGGGCATAAAACAGAACTAATTAAGAGGGAATAAGTAAACATATTCACAGAGTAAAGTACAATCAGTACTGGTGTAAAAAACTGATTGGGAACTTTGAATAACAAAAATAATGATTTCTAACCCTGTCTTTGGAAATAAAACATTGTGTTATCAGTTCTACAAGCAACCAAACGCAACATTCTTCCATCTGGCTTTTTTATGTGTAAAAAGCATGATTTTTCTACTCCTTAAATTAATAAAACACGATACACACAGCATAATCTGATCTCCACGCATGCATAAATCACATCACATGTTATGTGGACCTACTTTTTATCTTACTGTTGCAAAGCTAATGAGAACTGAGTTCCACTCTAACCCAGCCCTTGAAATAACTCTGTGCAACTTCTTCTATCCACAAAAACTACAGTTACTTTCTCCTTATAATAATTTTCATAATTCCCACTTTTCTAGCTCATGTTCAAAAATGTTGGACATTAAAAATGTTGGACATTAAAAATGTTTTTGAAAACTTTTATTTAACATGAGTTAACTTGGACATCAACAATCATGCATTCTCTAGCAGGAGGCAAGATACTGCTCATAAATGTCCATTCAGAGTAAGAGTTGGGAAGCACACAGGAAACACTAGTAGAGAAAAAGAAATGCTTGGCCAACGGCTCAACAATGAGCTACACTACTCAGTAGCCTGAAACTTAAATGCGCATTTCTCTCATACAACAATGAAGTTGCGAGTATTTCACAGGGATGCTCCACAACAGAGTCCAAAATTACAATACATTTCTGAGAGCTGTTAACACTGAGCATCCTACGTTATTTTTTCTTAGGGAAAAAACTCCACGATGTTTAGTTTAATTTTCTGTTATTGCCTTCATTTTATGCTCTCTTATTACTGCACCACTATTAGTCCATCAGTATTTTCAGAGAATGCCATGCAGTTGGTAAGTAATTCCAATGAAGGTTTTTCAAGGCATAAATATCCTGGTGGGCTCTAATAAGGTCTTTCTTAAATTTACAAAAAATATACATCAAATTAATTCAGCAATATGGAGAACTTTTTTTAAAGTGCATAAATGTTTTATCTTTCTTTAAAAAGGCTAATAAGGAAATTAAACTACCCAACAGTTAGTAGACATCCAAAGATGAAAACAAAAAAGTGTGTTTAAATTTTTCTCCGTTGCTTTGATATTAAAAATATGTGTGTTTTGTCCCTTCTGAAAGACACTGACAGCTTGGCTTTTCTTCAAATGTCAGTCTAGTATATATTTTGAAAAGACGAAACATCAAAGAAGAACGAAGACTGGTAACATAACGCTAAGTTGTCTCTGGCAGCTTGAAGTATTATCATTGAAATGCAACATCTACCGTAGCAAGATAAAGAGTTAAATCTCTCCCCACTTATACTCTTATTCATTCCCAAAATCCACAAAAGGAAATAATTATGGAAGGAAGTAATATATTAAATAATTTTTACACAATCGCCTGCTTCACTGTGTCTTTAGATACTGCAACTGTTGGGCAACCCTATGATCTTCTCCCACCTTCACATCTTATTCTGTATCATTTAACAAAATGTTAAAGGCATGCATGTGGCAAACCAAGAGAATAGCTATAACCGTAGTTCAAGTGTAAAATGTAAAACAGTACAGTTTAGGGATTCTTTCTTGTGGAAGTTGGTTTGACTTTTTCTGCTCTTCCTGACATGAGAAGTATTTCACAAATTTACTTTTAATATGATCTTAATAAAACACAAGTCACTTTTGTCCTGCCACCTATTTATAACTGGTAATTTAATTTAAAAAAACCACAAACACAACACAAAAAAGGAAGTAAAACTCATAATTTTAAACAGAAAACTTGCCTCCACTATGTAGATCTATATCTAAAATGCAAAACCTACTAAGAATAATTATCAAGCAAGCTGATAAGTATACATTTTGAAAAAGTGTTTCTAATACTTCAGAAGGAAGCAAAACACTATGAATTTAGTATACTGAATCCAAGAAGAAATACCAGTTTGAAACAGGAAAGCAGTAATGAAAGAGAAGGTACAAAACCAAATTTGAAATAAATATTTGAACCTTTTAAATAATTCAAAACATTTACACCTCCTATTTTACAAGCCGAATACTAGGAGAAGCAAGGGGGAAACTTTCATTTTTTAAGAAAACAGCATTAGCCAAATGGGAAGCTTCAATATCGAGCTACTTTGGCTTTAAACAAGGTATATTGAACTGTCAGTACAGAAAACTCATCCACTTTGTGCTTTATTAAGACAGGGGAAGGCAATAAAACCTTGAAGCAGAGTAACTGTCTGCGAGTAAAAGTAAATCAAACTACTAATATTAAAAAGTGTTTCAGTATCTCCGCATAAAAAATGATATGCCTAGAGGACAAGAAAGCATCACACTACTAAAATGTCTGCATGAATAAGCTTACTTTCTAATATGACAGCAAATTATTTGAAGGCACTGTAACACATTCAGTCAAATTTTGGATAGTGGCAAGATTTCCATTAAAGTCTTCTTCAGAACTGAAAAGTCTGATGTCAGGTTAGCTTAGAGTTTCAGTTGCCTCTGATAAGGGAATATCATATGCCATTTTCTCGCATTATGACATTTTTCTGTTTCTTACAGTAAAATTACTGCTCATAGACAATGGGTCCTGTTCTTTCATTTTGAAATATCAAATGCTACTTAAAATGCAACATTCACATAATTGTATTTTTACAGTGTAAGTTTCTTACTTTTACAAACTTCTTTTTACACACTATTCTACATTTTAACAAATTATAAACTTTCTGGCTACATGTGACAGTAGTGGCTGCATGCAGGCTAATAAAAATCAACACAAAAACAAAATCCTGGAACAGTTAACTTTTTCTAAATATTAGGATTGGTGAAGTTATGAGTTACTGAAAACAGAGGTGGAAGGAAAAAAGCATTAAGGATATTAACCACAGCTACTTATAGTATTATAAGACTATAAGCCTGAATCAGCCACACCTACATATCACATTGGCAGACTGCACTTAACATTAAAAGAAAGAGCATCTGGTGAAGAAAAGCTATGTAATATCCCGGTGATTAAACAGGAGTTTTATCAATTGAAAATAATTAATGTGAATTTTATAAAAAAACTAATATGAAATTAAGTTAATATGAAATTAAATTTAGCAACACGACCTCAGCAATTATTATATTTCCACAGTCATTTGCTTGCAAATCACCACAGTTATTACAGCTGTATTAGTCAGAAGCAGAGGCTACCTGTGAAATAATAGCAAAAAAAGTCCTAGTGCTGATTTGCATGGAGAAAATTCCACACCTATGCTGGATTTGCACATCCATTACTATGTCACTGATCTTCCTCCCTGATAAGCTGCCAACTCAACACGAGGAAAGCTGCTTTTACAGACAGGAAAGAGAGTACTACAAAATACTTTCTTACAGTTGTATCAATTACATAGGACTTTCTGCAGCCTAAGAAACAGGGAGGAAGGAAAAGGATAAGGAACAAGGAAGAAAGTTGAGATTAACCTTTAAAAAAGTCAAGTTTATCTAGAAATATAACTAAAGAAAAAAAAGGAGAAAATTCAGATATAGTGGATAATAATATGTATTTTAAAAATGTGCATGGCCTCACAGGTTATCAAATGCCTTCCCAACTACTGTATGAAGGCCTTAGTAACTGTGATTTTTGTTGTCATACTGCTACACCAAACAACCAGTAACCTGCACTACCTGATTACCTCTCAGGGACCTACCTGGTTGCCTTCCTGAGAAAACCAGAATATTGTCTGGAATTGACACAAATGAGAAGAGAATGTACTATATCCTTAAAATCGGTAAGAATGAAAGAAAAGATAGGGAAGTAAAACAGCCATATGTGTGCTAATTTAGGGTTAACTGATTCATTTCTCATTCCTAATTCTGTGTCCTTGTGTACTCCATGCCTTCTGTTCAGATTTTGATGAACACCTTATATATTTTTTTTCTATCTATTCAACTGGCATGACACATACAAATACTCCAAAAATACACCTAACTGCAGACAGGCAGATCTGGGCAAGACAAAAAACAAGCCATACCTCCTACAGAAAGAAATGTCACACAGTTTCCACAAAAGAGCAAGCCTAGCCAGAGGGAAGTCTGTAATACGCAATACATTTTCAAAGTGTTGTTAGGTACTAGTATCATGACACAGAAGTACAGGAAATATTTAATTAAACAAAAAAAATGAAACCCAAAAAGAATTACAGCAATAACAAGTAGACAATATTATCAAACTTACAGTCTCAAACCTGTTGAGCAATTTTCCAGGTCTCTATCGAGAGAGAGACCAAACATGGTTGAGACTTGGAAACTTTACCTCCCAACAGCTGGTCATTCAACAGTCACAAATACAGTGTACGTATTATAAGCTGATCAGCAGAGTTTTTTACAACCTAATTCCTCACTGAGCTTAGGTATGGTTAGCTTGTCTGATGGTAAAACTGTACCTATGCAGCACGACAGTATAACCCTCGACAGAGTAGAGCTCTGAAAGCATGAAGCTGGATAAAGTCAGTCCCAGTGTAGGATTCAGCTCACCCTAATTTCATCCAACTACAGTGTAGTTGCCAACACGTGAGACTAGCTTCTAACCTTCCACTGAAGTCAATGGAGATCTAATCAGTATAGCCAATAGAGTCTAGAAAGCAACTACCTTTCAAACTAAATAGTTCTCACGGCTCTGTCGACTAGGGGTAGGACACAGCTTCCTGTCCTGGTTTCGGCTGGGACAGAGTTAATTTTCTTCACAGTAGCTAGTATGGGGCCATGTTTTGGATTTGTGCTGGAAACAGTGCTGATAACACAGGAACGTTTTAGTTACTGCTGAGCAGTGCTTACACACAGTCAAGGCCTTTTCTGCTTCTCACACCACCCCACCAGCGAGCAGGCTGGGGATGCACAAGAAGTTGGGAGGGGACACAGCCGGGACAGCTGACCCCAACTGACCAAAGGGATATTCCATACCATATGACGTCATGCTCAGCATACAAAGCTGGAGGAAGAAGAAGGAAGGGGGGGACGTTCGGAGTGACGGCGTTTGTCTTCCCAAGTAACCGTTCCACGTGATGGAGCCCTGCTTTCCTGGAGATGGCTGAACACCTGCCTGCCCATGGGAAGGAGTGAATGAATTCCTTGTTTTGCTTTGCTTG